AATGGCGTTCCGCCGTGGCACTGAGGGGCTCGGCCGCAGAGCCCTTGAGGCCGCAGGCGGCAGCGGTGGGGCCGGTCCCCTTCAGTTGTCACAGGGCTGATGGGAATGTGCGCCCTGTGCCCCGGTGGGTAACACTGAGATGCCCCAAAGGGTTAAAGAGGTATGGATGTGGCCATTCCCGGCTGTTTGCTACGGCTGGACCAACTCCTCGGCCTCAGAAATACGTCATCTAAAAGCAGAACATCTCTAGGAGCTTTTTATCGTGATACCATTCAACAAAAAGGCTTAGAAATAGATCATAAAATGGACACGCACATACCTGTGAAAACGCCATTTTATAGTTGGAATATGACTGAACAGAAGCCAGTAATAAAAACTAATTTTGCCTTTAACATGGATTTGAGGCCCAACGTGATTGGAAATTCATCCCAAAACCAAAGTTAATGTCAGACAAAGGACTGAACAAATTAAGACCCTGATCTGGGACGAAAACAAAGGTGCATCTAAATAATGGGTATTTCATTCTGCGGGTATGAAGTGGGCACCCTGTTTAAACCAGTTATTCCCACTGAACTATTGGCTATGCCTTCTGCTTCAAAATGCAACTGAAATTCACAACGTGGTAATTGGTTTTCTCATTCAAACGAAGCACTAAGTCCAGGGATGGCTACACAAGTCTAAATATATCATACCAAGCTTAAGCACTGCTTTATGTATCTTCTGGAGGATGTAAGAACATTCAGCGCTTAGCATTTGCAGTTGTTAGGTATTTGGAGTTAAATATTAAGCCTTTTAGGCTAAACAGAAGAAGAATGTCAGGGAGAGAGCGTCTAATATTTAACTTTGAACAGAAGGTGTCCAGGGATCATCTGGTTTCATCAAGGCATGTTGAGATACGCGATTCTTTCACTCTAATCTACCCTCTTTAACCCAAGAAGGCGCAGCGATGCTCTGTATGCCAAGTGCAGGCGCGCTGTTCCTTAGGGGAAGGGACTCTTCAGAGTCACTCCTGAAGAGCAGACGGACTCTTTCAGAAAGACAGCAACGAGAAAAATCCTTTAGTCTTCGGGGGAATTTTCAAGATAAGCTAAAAGCAGGGATGATGAATAGCATGCTATAAAGCAGAAGTGATGAATTCAAAGAAGAAAAAAGCCCTACCGTTTGAAAGGAAGGAACTTTTTTAAAGTCTTGATAGCTAGTACACTGTGTAAGTGTTTGCCCTGTACTCATCAGTGTAGCATCTCCCTGTTCATGACCAAAGGCCTAAAAACCTGTTCTTAGGAATTATTTTTCTTTCCCAAACATATTTCTGAAGGGCAATAATCAGCAGTGACTGATACTTACATGGTATTTTTCATCCGATGATCCTAATTTGCTTTACTGGCCAATTTTAAAGGTACGGATCAGTAACATTTTGTTCCGTTTGTGGCCGGCAGATCTTTGAACATTGCAGAATGGGAAATCAATGCAAAAATCATCTGACAATACAAGAGGGAAATTAGGAGACCAAGTCAGTTCATTTCCATATCGGCATACTCAGAATGTCAGCTAACAGATAAAGCATTTCTGGAGGATTCGTAGAAACAAACAGAAGGGCCTGGGTTTCTCTGGGAACTGTTCAAATTCTTTTCTGCGTGGACTGCAAATTAAAGGGAAAAACAGCAGGTCTATTTTGTATCCAGCTCCTGAAGAAGGTCACATAACTGAACTTTTCTCTTTAAGCTTCTATTCTTAGTGTGAACTTTCACTGACTTCTCTATTGGTGCCTTGTTTGTTTGTAATTTAGTAAATTGTACTACATGTAGGAAATGGACTTCATGGCAATAAAACTGAAGCCCCTGAAAAGAATACTCACAAAGAGTCGAGACCTGAAAAAACAGTACATTTCCTGTGCACCATATCAACCATCCTGCAACAAGGCGGTGAGGTCCAGACTGCGTGAATAGGAAATGACAAGCCTAGAATTACTAATAATGATGAAAGGAGATCAGGCTATTCCATAGGGACTACGCATATGTAAAGGTATAACTCTAGCCAACACAATAAACCTTCAAAGCACGAAATGTTAATGTTGAGCAGGGAAGTAACCTAATAAAGGAAGATGCCTTCCACATCCCAGACAAAGCATATTAGAGAGCTTGGATTTAAGTCTGAATGTTCCACCTTAGTCACTGCAATTATCTGTTAAGTATGACGCTTAGAATCCAGATCCCAGCTCTGGTTTTGACTTCTTCAACCCTCTGTATTTAAACTTCTTCCCAGTTCTGCGTTACCTGGACCAAGTAACTGTTTTGGGAAATAGCTGAGCCTTTTGGTATGAAGCCAGGCTGTAATAACTAGTTTAGAGGAAAACGAGTTGGATATAGAAGTCAGGACCACACAGTGTAATCTGTACAGAAAGCAGTTCTTGTGTGCTTCTGTGTTGAAACCCTGTGTTGCACAGATAACATCTCAGAGCTAAAACTCGGTTTTGATAATACTGGTCCACACACTCTGTGCTGCAAGACTGTTCCCGAGAGTTCCCGTAAAACCCCACAATAGCACCCTGGCATTAGTCAGAAGCACCCTGGAGATTGAATTTAAGAGCCAAATATCTAGAGTTCAGGCTAAAATTGGGAAAGACCCAAGAAAAGATTTAAACAAACAAACAAAGTCTTTCTACTGTAACCCAAGATAGGAGCAAAGGCTGAACAGCATCACGTATCAGAGCTAGTTGGCAGGACTGTAGGCAGCATTTGTCTTTCCTTCCTAAGTTAGTAGTATGTAGATATACTCCCTCTGAAACACCTAGCTTCTTACAAACCCTGCTACTGTCATGCGAATCATGTTTCCAGACACTTTCTTTTGCTGTCATTCCTATAAACGGGTCACACAGAGTTCCCCAAAGCAGCTAAATAAATGAGTAACTTGTGTCCCTGATGCAATAACTGTCTCAGATCACCCATGGGGTCATGTTGCTGTTATTAACACCTATCAAGGGATTTAGGTGGACGTGGATCCAGACATGTCCTGGAAAGCCACATGATATTGATGCTCTAAACTTGCTTTCTAGATGCTGCAACACCCTTTAAAATTACCTTCTACACTGTCCTTTTCCAGTGGCCACAAAATAATGTACTGAATTGTACTGCAGAATAGATCACTGAAACAGATTTTTACATTGCTTCATCTCAAATACAGATTCCCTTGCTTCATATGGAGTTATAAAACAATTATTTCAGAACATACCTCATTCAAAACATTTTAAGTGTAAGAGACAGTGAAGAGTAATTAGCATAATAAAAGCTGTAAGAGAGGAGACAGGTCTGAAATATAGGGGGAAGATACAACACTAGCTTCATGCTACTTAATACACAGCTAAAAGAAGGAAGACAGTAAACTTCCTTTCTGTCCTGCTTTGGTTTATGCATTGAGACAAGTGAGCTTTAAGGGTGCTGTGATGAAGGAAAACCAACATTCTCAGTTTTAAAGTCACTCTTTGTACCATGACCTCTTGCTAATAACACTTAACTTTGGTGGGATTTGGGGGGGTTGGTTTTGGGTTTGGTTTTTTTTTTTCTCAGTTTTAGAAATGGGTCTGTACATAAACTTAAGCCAAAACAAAGTTGAGGATTTTGATAGGGACAGAAAATTCTGGTCTGCGTTTAGATTCCCTGCCTTTCCCACAGACTCTGCAAAAGCCACAGGTACAATCACCTATAGAGTAGGAGAGCCAAATTATAAACCTCATATACTTGGCTTTGTGTCATCTGCTCTTGGCTTCCTGCCGTTCTGAAGGCTGGGTGAGGGGAAGTGGCTGAAAACTGAGGAAGTTTATTGTTGACAACACGTTTTGTGTGCTCTCAGGCATGCCTGGGACCAACGCAGTCCCTAACCAGCCCCAGGTCTGGGGAGTGAAATGTAAGTTTTCAGTCACCTTCCCCTCCCTCCTCACCTCCCTCTCTCCCACAGGAAAAGCCCAGCTCACAGTTTTCAAAGAGTTAATGTACCTTTGGAAGAGTCCTGCTGTTGTTAGCACTACTGTCTTTGTAGCTAGCAACATCGTCCTTGCTTGCTTCAGCTAAACCACACCTGAAAAATTAACTTTAAACTAGAAGAGATTCAGAAATTGACCACTTCTGTCAATTAAAAACTTCATTCTTCCCTGGAATATGGCTATCATCTCCCTGGTGAACAGGAAGTGCATTGAAGAAGTAATGAACACTCATAAAACACATTTAATGATCTAACATTTAAGAGCAGCGTTCTTGTTCATTACTGTAGCTTTCTGCTAAATTACCACCAACAGGATTGCTCATGGGCTCAAAAGGTCAGTGTTATTTTTGCTGTTGAAATGGTGGAGTCTGGGAAACAACTGTGTGTAAATTGCTGATAAACTGGAACAAAGACAGAAGAGAAAAACACTGAACATATAAGAATGCAAGTAAACCAGCAGGAAAGGAGGGGAGGGGAAGAATCTCACGGACAGTTTATTAAAAGAACAAAAGAATAAAATCTGGCGCATTTGTTTTCCACGGGTTCAGGAAGCCCGGTCTTTAAGCACCTACTATAAATAGAGTGTTCTAATTCTTCATCAAAGCGGGTAGTAGTCTATACCAAAATGAATGAATTTTAGGTATAATCTGGGAAGAGGAAGATGTCCCTCCCCTTGTAGTAGAAGAAAGATCTTTTGTTTCAATCCTTGTACAAATTAGATATTTCAAAGTGTAAGAGCTGAAGAGATGAGGCAGAGTCTGGAACATGATGTTTCTATACTGCCAGATTCCTGGCAAGAATATTGTTAGAGGATGGAATTAGCAGACATCTAATTTAGGATTGAATAATCTGGTTTAGAGAAAGATGGTCTTGAAACCATCTTTCATGGCTAACTTCAAAATACTC